CTATATCTATATCTATATCTATATCTATAAAACTTTGTAAGTAAACATTCGTGAAGCATTCCATATTTTTAGATTCTGTGACTGGAGCGGTGGGAATACGTGCATTTGAGATGGCTAGGTTGGCACAGGATAGAACAGCATTTAGAGCTCTTGTCCATAGGGTCGCTATGAGTTGCAAGTGACTCGATGGCACATAACAACAAGTAAACTAGTATAAAATAAAAATTTTATTTAAAAAATAAACAATGTATGCACCTAAAGTGTCTAAGCCTCTCTTTTCCATATCATGCTTAACAATCTAATATACTGTTAGCCCTCACATGCTTTGTCACCATCTTGGCATTAGGGTCAAACTCAATCTGTAATGGTCCACTGAAGAAATAAAAAAATCCTGCAAATATAAAGGAGAGAATAATGAGACATTCTTACAGCAAACCACTTTTATAACATGCATTACCTTAGAATAAGAGTAAGTTAATAATGAAGAGCATATACTGCGTGGTCACTCTGTGCTGCACTAAGTGTTATTTATGCACGTTTTTTCTCATTTGTTTTTACAAATAAATCTTAAGATGATACTAATAAAGAAAAAGAAAATGCCAGAAAATTATGGCAGTTTGAAGATTCTTCCTGAAGTGTCACTAATGAAAGTTGAAAGGAAGTTTCATTTCCTCTTCATCTGACTTGAAAGTCATTGCTATGAAATACTAGATTATACTCTCTCTAAAGAGATAAAGTTGCACAATGTTTTTGAAAATATCAATTATTTTTGCTCTTTCTCCTAATGTTTTGGTCCTTCTGTCCCAATCATGTCCTAAATTAGAACTTGAGAGGCAACCTAAAGGAAGAAAATGAAATTTTAAAAAATATACAACACACCAGCAGTTATTAAGTTTATGCTTTTGTATACATTTTGGTTATCTTAGTGGTAAGATTGTAAGTTTTGTAAGCATTATGATTTTCAAGCTGCAGTATCCCTCTTCATTTTTCTCTTTACAGAAAAGCAGTAACAAATTTTTCTTTGTCAAGAGTCATTTGTTTTAATTTTAGTTTAGTATTTTTATTGTTTTTTTCTTTCATATATTTTTTATTTAACACACTTCTTTATTCATATAGTTTTTTGTATTATAATTTCCATTAAAAAACTTTTAAAAAGATGTTAGAGTAGAAACAAAGGTACATTTCTCCAATGATTATTAAGTTATGCATGTAGAAGATCCAGAGCATGCTAGAAGTTATGAAAATGACACAGAATTTAATAATGTTAGTGATATCGTGGTTACCAATTATACCAATGAACCATTAGATTGAAAAAAAAGGTTTAAATGATTAATGATTAAAATAAAGACATGTTAATCTACCAACATGGTCATTGAAAGACACAGGAACTGCCTTGAAAAAGCTTCCTCTTTGAAATTTGAGACAATTTAAAGAACAAATGTAATGGTAAAAATGGGTAAAATATTGTCTCGAATAAATTAATTAGTAAATATAAACTAACCCTCAGGGTAAAACGGTATCTATAGAACAAGTCAAGTCAGTTTTTGATAGAAACAAAAGTAACAGTTGCATTGTAACCTCTTTACTAGTAGGAAAGGAAGGATGTGTTCTGCTCTCTTCAAATTGGTCTTTTCTTTCTAAATTTAGGATTGAAATTTAATCCGAAAAAATATCCACTAATCTTAAAAAAAAACCCACAGAGGGATAACTATCATAATACAATTCATTTTTGTGTACATCTCTTACATCTAATAAGCATTTTTTCTATGTTGAATTCTTAATATGTACAATGATATAAACAGTGAGATTTACTATAGCCAAAATCAAGTAAATTTTGCCCTATCTTTTTCTCCATTCCACTCTGAATGGAATAATAATTTAAAAGTTCAAGTAACAAATCATTTGTTCCCTTAACTATAGCTATAGTGAATAGGTTTATTTAATTTAACTTTTATTTGTGTAAATAATAAAAGTCCAAAAGAAAAATAGAATCATATGTGGTCAGTTTGAATATGTTTGAGTATGTATGAAGATGATTATTTTATTACAAGGGAAATTTAGTGGCTTAGTTATAAGGAATTGTACTACCAACCCAAAAATATACAGTTTGAAACCTCACTTGGTGCATGGGAGCAAGATGGGTAATCCCTTCTGGTGTGACTAATGCCACTGAAAACCTACTGAGGGAGAAGCTATGGATTGGTTCTGGCTCACTGGCAAACAACAACAATTTTCTTCCACTTGAACACGGTAGATAATTTCATGTAGAAAATTTCATAACAGAAGGCTAGGGAAATCATTTGGGATATGATAGCAGAGGAAGGGTAAGATAATTGGATTGCCAAATTTGTGTGTGTGTGTGTGTGTGTGTAGAGAGAGAAAGAGAGCGCGCCTTATACATTGAGGAATTCTGCTGTCAAGGACCTCCCCAAAGTGAAAAAAAAGAAATGATGTCAGTGTAGAGTAGGCTCTCCTGATCCAGGCCATGGTCTTCACTATTACTTCCTATGCATCACAAAGCTGAATAATGACTAAAGATGATAGAAGAATCGATGTCTTTGAGTTGTGGTGCTGGAGAAGGGTATTGAACATACCATGGACCATTAAAAGAATAAACAGGACTGTTGTGGAGAGGGTGAAATCAAGTTTCTCCTTGGAGGTAAGGATTTTGAAGTTCTGTCTCACATTCTTTGGGCACATGGCCAGCGAGGGACCAGTCCCTGGTGAAGGTCATAATGCTTGGAAGGGTGGAAAGACAATGCAGGAGATGAAGACCCTGGATGAGATGGATTGACACAGTAACTGGCGAATGGGATTAGGTGTGTTGGAGTCAGTGAGACTGGCTCAGAATAAGGCAGGGGTCAGAGCTATTGTACACAAGCTTGCTTTGAATCACAGGCGATTTGAAGGCACATAACAACAACAACAACAACATACATACATATAAATACCTCCACAGTGCTGAAGTTTTCATACTAAGTGTCAGTTTAAATATTAAGGTGAACCTGATACAAACTTTTAAGTTACTTGCTATCCGTCTGGAATTTCATTAATGCATAAAAATGACATTGAGTTGTGTTGGAAAAGAGTACAGATGTCTCATGAAATGCCAAAAGAGCAAAGAATATGTTTTGGAGAGGGTGCAACCAGGGTACTCTTTAGAAGTAAGGATAGTGTAACTTCCTCTCACATATATTGGATATGTTGTTTATAAACGGTGGGTCCTTAAAGAAAGGCATCATTCTTGGAAAGTTAGAGGGTCAGTGAAGGAGAAGACCATCAATGACATATTAGCACTGTGATGGTAACAAAGAGCTCATGTATAGAAGAGATGATGAGGATAGCACAAGATAGAGCAGGGTTTAAATCTGTTGTTCATAAGGTCGCTATGAGTAGACTAGAAGGCACCTAACAACAACATACATGAAAAGGGTGCTCTGGTGGCTTCTATGAAAGGAGTTGTGCTACCAAAGGAGGGCAGTTTGAATCCACCAACTGCTCCAGGAGAGAAAGATGGACAGTTCCCTCCCATGTGATTTATTACCTCTGAAACGCACCTGAAATCAACAACTGGATTTAAAGTAAGAAACAACAGCAATAAGATAAGAAAGGAGTCCTGGTGTGAACCAAAGGTTGTGATTCTCTGGAAGTTCAAATTCACCAGGAACTCCTTGAGAAAAGATGAACAATCTGCTCCCACTTTCTTTAGATCCTTGGAAATCTAACAGAGGGTCCTCTATGAGTTGATTCTGATTCAACAATAATAAAAATCCACTTAAGAAAATAGGTACAGTGTGAGAGATCACTCTTTTATTTTACATGCTGCTTGGAATCAAGGACTTGTGGAAATCATGGGGGAAATAAAATGTAACCCAAGGTACGTACATCTTACAGAATGTGGGGTGAAAAGAGGACAAGAGTGAATGATTTGGAAATTGTTTGGTCTTTCCACTGTAAAATGTGCACAAGTGCCTCATCCTCTTACCCGATTTTTGAAACGCAGCATCAATCTTTTGCTCAACTCCAGGAAAGTCCTCATTTATCATTCTGGGGAAACCTTGATCCATGGACTGGCTATTCTCATCAAATCTACACCAAAAGAAATGCAGTTTAGTATTCTGTGACTCCCCCATTACCTACCAGTATAAAGTAACATTAATGTCCCAGTATGAAATCCTCAATAAACTTTTCTAGCTGTTCAAAGGACTATAATAAATGTGACTTTTTATGGATTATTAAGTCTAGAACTTAAAACCATATTTTCCCAAGACAGAAATACTCAGCTATTCCAGAGGACTCAAACATGTGTTTGAAGTCAGTTTTCTAAGCTTGAATGTGTAAAACTTGTTTGTGGACCATAATAGACTGGTTTTGTCTTTCTATTGTAGTCCTTTAAGCCAAAAAGATAATCAAGACTGTGTGTAAGGTGTTGCACTGGCAACCAAAACATCAAAACTACCGCGTGCTCTCCAGGAGAAAGATGGGAAGTTTCGGAAACTTGATGAATATTTTGAGTTGGAATCAACTTACTGGCAGAGGGTTTACTTTTTTGGTTTGTGTGTGCATGCTGGAAACAAAGTAAATTAGTTTATTTTGCACAAATTAAACTCTTGAGTCTCTACTGCAAAGAATTTAATAGACTTGTCTCTAGAATATTTCATATTTGGGATTCCTTTGCAAATTAATGATAAGGAATTCTGCTACCAATACAAAAGTACGCAGTACAAATCGACCACTTTCTCCATAAGAAAAAGATAAACAGTCTCCTCCTTCTTGATTTATTGCCTCTGAAAACTCACCAGAAGTATAACTAGCAATTGATTTTAACTGATAGGGGCACAACAACAACAATGGCAGCCACAGGGTGACAAGTAGGAAGAAATGCAATTTTGATCAGAAGTCTGGACCTTAGTGTCTTTTGATATATCCTTAGATATATTACTCAATGACCAACTTTTATGAGAACCTTTGTTATATTTAAGAGCTTGAAAAACTGTTAGTTGCTTTCAGAAAATTTTAAGTTAGAGGAAATTGGAAAGGATAGGTTTTAGGGATTTTCTTAGAAGAAATCAAACATCCTAACTAGGCTGCCTACAAAGCTGTTACTATTTCATCTTACCTCCAGTAGGTGTTCTCTACAAAAAAGTAGGTTTTCCCATTTTCCACATCAGAAATGGCTGCATCAATCTTCTGGACGTTTGGAGGAAAGCCCAGTGTGTAGATGCTTCTTGGATAACCTGCTTCTAGTATATTGCCTTTAGTGGCCCAGAACTGATTTCCTATTAATAATATATTTAAAACATTTTGAATGAAGGCTTTTGATTTTAGAAACAACTTTGATGTGTTGTTATAGTAAGATGAGCTTAGTTTCATACCAGCCAAGAATCCAAATAGAAAGTAATTAATAAATAAGCTTTTTAAAAAAATTAAAAATTTGTTTGAATGAATCAATGAATAAGAAGACTTTTATGCATTATACCAATTATTCATAAATTATAGCCATCAATCTTAGTTATTTCCTCCTAATTGTTGAAGACATCTTAATCTGAATTTATAATCTGGAATTTTTCTTTATCAAGCTTCATATTCACATATAAATTGCTTACTGGACATTTTCTATTGAATTTTCCATAGTTACCAATTAAAAGCTCTGTTGCTTCTTTGGAATCTACTCAAGCTTAGGTAAATTAGGATAATGTTCTGCCATCATATTCTCTTTGTTTTTTTCTCTTTCTGTCTTCTCAAGTCTGAATCCCTTCCTTGCACCAGCAGCCAGGAAATAAAAAAAAGTATCGCGATGGGAAAGTCTGCTGTAAGAGACCTCTCTAAAGTACTCAAGAGCAACCGTGTCTCTCTGGAGACTAAGGTGTGCCTGATACAGCCCATGGTCTTTGCAATCACTTGTTATGCATCAGAGAGTTGGACAATGACTAGGGAAGATAGAAGGAGAATTGATGCCTTTAAGTTGTGGTGCTGGAGAAGAGTATTGAATGTACCCTGGACTGCCAAGAAAACAAACAGATTCATCCTGGGAGAAGGTTAGACCAGGCTGCTCCTTGGAGTCAAGAATTCTGAGACTTCGTCTGAAATACTTTGAACATGTTGTAAGGAGGGAGAGGTTCTTGGAGAGTGACATCATGCTTGGGAGGGTGGAGGGGCGACGCAAGAGGGGAAGACCCTCTATGAAGTGGATTGATTCAGTGACTGCAGTAGTCAGGATGAGTGTTCCAGAGGCAGTGTGGTTGGCACAGGATAGAGCAAGGTTTAGGGCTGTAATACATAGGGTTGCTATGAGTTGCAAGCGACTTGATGGCACCTAACAATGACAAGAACAACTGGTGGGAATGCAAAAGGTACAACCACTATGGAAGGAAAGTTGGAACTAAAAAAAAACCATTTGACCCAGCAATTCTACTACTAGGAATATACCCTAAAGAATCCAGAGCTGTCACACCAACAGATGTATGAACACCCATGTCTATTTGCATTATTCACAATAGCAAAGGATGGAATCAACACAAGTTGATTACATCAAGACATGAATGGATAGGAAAATTATGAAATATTTACACAATGGAATACTATGCAGCACTGTAAAACAAGGAACTCATAAAATATTACAAAATGCAGGTGACCTTGGAGGACATTATGCTAAGTTAAATATGTCAGTCACAAAAGGGCAAATACTGCATAACACCACTGTTATGAAACGGGATTGACATGGGGTTTGGGGAGAAACTGAGAGAAAAGGGGGGGGGAATGAACATTGCATTGAAACAGATGGAGGGATGAACTGTTTTAAAGGAATATATGATTAGGTATTATCTGTATGACAACAGTCCAGAATAAGAGGTGCATAGCAAAGTGGATTAGTTTGGGGGGAGAGGGAGGAAATAATGCAATAATGAATATTTTGGGTCTTGGTCTTTTGGGGTTTTTTGTGTGCATAGGGTCACTATGAGTCGCAAATGACTCGACGGCACATAACAACAACAACAATGTAAACTGGGCAGAGGGTAGGGAGGAAAAATGTGCAATAATGAATGAATGAAAAGCTAACTTTTCTGTAAACTTTTGTTAAAATCACAATAGAGTCTGAGGGCAACCCCAAGACTGCAGAATTTTGTCACTATTGGAACTTGGAATTAAAAAATCATTTCTGTGGCTCAAATGCAGCCAAACAATTAACAGACCTAGAAGACAAACAATGTCACCAGGGAGGCACTCAGAATAATAAAAAATAAGATTAAATAAGATCAAAAGGGCATGAGTAACTATCTCTGAGTAACTCAGAGATAGAGTTCAGAAGCAGAAAGAGGTATGATTGGGTTAATGAAAATAGCTATCACAAGGAGGAAATGAGAAGAATGTGGTCACATCGTGAGTATTCTAATTAATGCCATACAACAAAAGACTTAGACAATGGAATGGCATATATCAAACACTCAAAGAACACAACCAAGAATACTGTACCCAGCAAAACTGTCCATCAAATAAGAAGAAGAGATCAAACTTTTCCAAGAAATACAGAACTTAAGGGAGTTCATAAAAACAAGACCAGCCTTAAAGGAAACACTGAGAGATGCCCTTCATATAGAGATGCCACAGAAAACAGAATGAACCAAAGCTACTAGCAACAAACCAAAAAGAATTGAACAAAATGATAGCAATAATTACACTGAATGTGAATGGTTTAAATGCACCACTGAAGAGAAAAAGAGTAGCAGATTGGATAAAAAAACAAAATCCATCAATATGTTGTATACAAGAGATACCTCTGAAAAATGAAGATAAAGACTAAAAAGAAAAGGATGGGGGGTGGGGAATATACCAAGCAAATGGCAACCAAAAAAAAAAAAGCAGGAGTAGTGATAGTAATC